GCCTTACTTACGTACTACGTTTCTTTCCGTAACGTCTCTACTTTCTTTCGTCTATGTTTCGTTCTCCTTCCTCTCGTCTAACGTACGTTACTTTCTTACCCCTCCCCTCCTCTCTCTCTCTCTCTCTCTCTCTCTACTTTTCCACCTCCCCCCCTCTCTCTCTACTGTTCCACCTCACTCTCTTCTTTAGATCTTAACATTTCTCTCTCTAGATGTTGACATTTCTCTCAGCCTTTAGATGTTAGCTTTTTTCTCTCTCTAGATGTTGACATTTCTTTCTTTATTTAGATGTAATCTTCTCTCTTAATATTTTAATCTCTCTGCTCTGTCCACCGTCCTCTCAAATCTCTTTTTCGACTGCCTTCTCGCTGTGCACCACTCTCTAATTGATAAAGAAAACTTTTTACGATCGTCCAGCGGACTCGGAACCACATATCTACTGAAAATTGACATCCCGTAGTGTTGTTTTGAAAAAAAACCTTACCTTGAAACATTTGATTAGCCATTTTCTTGAGTTCTCTCTCATTTATAAAAAACAATTTTTTTTTTGTTATCAAAAAATATATATTAGTTTTTGAAAAAAGTTTATATAAAGCTGAAGCTCTAAACAATCAAATTACAACTCACTTCAAAAATTTTACTCCTATACAATACAATATTTGATGCCCAAATATCATCAAATTGATCATCTCAACATCAAGATACATAGACATGAAAAAAAAATGGATTTCAAGTTTTGAAAATAATATATCTTATAACATATTTTTTTACTCACTTTTCTAGATTTAACATCTACTCGATCGGCACTATTTTATAAGATTTAAATTTTATATTTAAGATGATAATATATTTTAAGGCTATCACAAAGATTTTCAATATTAAAATCATATTTCTCAACACTATTTGAAGGTGGGCTCTAATTGGATTGTTTAGAGCCTCGATTCTATACAAACTGCATCCTTATTTTTTAAGCCATGTCTCCAATATATACAACAATTTTTTATTAAATAAAAATAAATCAAAATTCCAAATTTGCTGAAAAAATTCCAAGAGTTGAAAATCTACGATTTTTTATTGCTCTCATTGTTTCACTAAATTCTTTCAGACTTATTCTAAAATGCCCCTATCCTACTGGTCTACAAAATCCCTAACAACTTCTTTTGAACCACCAAAAGAATGTAATCCGATGAATCAAAGAGAAACATGTCTCTCTTTGATTCATCAAATTACATTATTATGAATCAAAGAGACGCATATAACAGTGAAACATGTCTCTCTTTGATTCATCAAATTACATTATTATGAATCAAAGAGACGCATATAACAGTGCAATCCAATTAATCAAAGAGAAACATGTCTGTGTACAAACCGACGAAAACGTAATTTGTGCATCAGGGGACCACATCCACAATAACTTCCCCACACGCAATAAACATCTATCTTGAAGATGGATGTCAAAGAATAGGGGCCCCACCAAAACATAGAAATTAACCGTGTTAAAAATTATATCAAAACCTTAATTTTTATTTTTAGAAATTTATTCATTTATTTATGGATAGAAGATTCATTTAAATAGATGAGGCCAAAGCGAATGCTGAAGCAACTTTAAAGACGCTTTTGAAACAATATTTAGGAAAGGAGTTCGGGCCAGGTGGTTAGCGAGCCAAGAGCCTTAACATAATGTCCCACCCTCCCTTCCCACCGTTAACATTTAAAAAACAATCAAAAATAAAACGTATAACAAGACCATTTACCTTTGACACAAGATGGTCATAATTAATCTCGAGCATTGCATGTAACATTAGGTGGCTACATTTATTTCATTGACCAAGTTAAAGTTCAAAAAAAAAAATTCCGAACATTGCAACACACCTAAGCTATCAGATTTCACATCGTAAATGCCATAAATAATTATGACCTCCCGGTAGGATACAACCGCCCCCCAAAAAGAGGGAGAAAAAGAAGAAAGTATCCTTGTCCTAAGGAGGAATTATTAAACACTCGCTAGCAGTCGCTAGGAGTTGTTGAAGGACGCTAGTTTCTAATTTGTAAAGTCTAACGGTAGACTCAATTCTCTGTCCAACAGTAGACTCGATTTTCTTAGCCCAGTATGCTTGTACATCATTTTTATAAAGCAATGACGAGTCATCTTATAATAACATAAATGGTGTGATTTTGTATAAGCTTGCAACCTTAAACAATCAAATTAAGGCGCATTGCCAAATTTTATCATAAATATAATTTGGTTGTCAAAAATTCTTAAGAATTCTTGAGAATCTATTTTTATCTCTAATTATAAAATTTTAAACTCTAAAAATGGTTCAAATCAAGTAGATCTATAAATACTTGAAAATCTTGAAAATGAACCGTCCAAATAATGTCTTGCAATATACACAATTTTTAAGACTCGAAATCTTTTTTGTTTTTTCATATCCATACATCTCGATGTTTGAGTGATCAATTAGAGGGTTGTCAAACATCAAAACAATCTTTTATGATGGACTTTTGAGGTACACCTTAATTCTACATTTTAAGGCTGTTACCTAATATAAACTTTTTCCTAACGTAAATTCTTTTACTAATTTAAGAAATTTATAACTATAAATTACCTATTTTCAGTTATTAGAACATGATCAACTCATGTTACCAATAAAAAGAATGTCATCATATTTTGAAAATTTTATCAAAATACACAACTTATTAATTCTCTAACATTTTATTGACTTTTTAAAATTAAAACAACAGAAATTAGTAAGATATTAAATAGTTCATATCTCAAATGCATTTGATGAATTTCCCTTTGCAAATTTGCCAGAAGATTATATACTCGACTGGGATTTACTCTCTAAAACCCCACCTAAAATAATAGATAGGAGTGTTCACAGGACCCCAAGTTTTGAGGATGTCACCTCAACCACACGATGTTCTAAAAAAATAATACACACCATACGTGCGTAGAAAAGTAACTTCTTAAGATTGAAACCCTTCAGTTTTTTGATGGTCAGGTTTAGATACTTTGGGAGCGTATACAATGAGAACATTTACTTTTGGTATAAAGTCACAATTACTTATAACTACTCAATGAAAAATCTAATAGCTTGGGTGTGTCACAAAGTTTGATGGAATTTCTTTTGAACTTTGAGCTTGATCAATCGAATAATAGCAAACACTGAATTTTATATCCAATAGTCAAAATCAATTGTGACCGCCTTGTACCAAAGGTAAATGGTGTCATTGTATACTTTTCCTTTCCAAAATACTTTTCCAGTGATTATTATGCAGACCACGAAATTTCAGATTAAGAAAATCCTCCTAAGCGGTTTTTCTTAATGTAAAGGTATTGTGCTTCCATGGAAGTATGCTCACATTCATATGCATAACAAAAAAGTCGGCAGAAAGCATTAAAAAATGGTTCAAAACCATGAAAATTGAAAACAGTTAACCATTACATGTATCGATATGCCTTATATACCACCTTTCAGCAATCCTCTCAACAACTAAGAGATCCATTCGAAGAACATGGGGACTCACCAGAACTTCCCAAATGATGAATCTCCTTGTGGTAATTCACCAGTTGCGTTATGAAGCAGTGAGGAGCAAGAAAACCCTATAAATTCCCATAATGATCATGCATCTGCAAGGATAACAACACAAAATATGATATAACAGGTTCTGAAAATGAAATGAAAACAACTGATATATCTATTGTAAAGCTCGTTATGTCCATTAAAACACCCATCATAATTTTCACCAATGTCTCATTCATTTAAAAACAAAAGCAAAAAAAAAAACTTTACATCCATTATGATTCCTTTACATCTATTATATTAGAAATAGCGTCCATTAATACATTACTCACGGCTTCTTATTTAAAATTTAACCTTTTTCAATTGTAATGGCCGCTACCATGAATTAACGGGGTATCAAAAGCTCCTTAACGGTTCGTCAAAGCGGATATTCGAATCTTGTGTTACAAACACAGAGGTGGTGTAGGCAAGATGTACCCGACCAGGCCATTCTATCTTAAGGTCCCAATATGTGGAGATTAACCGCAACTGAGTATCTACGGTCACAAATGATCAATCTCCACCCGTATTGTGAAACAATGGTGGACGTTCACAATGCAAGTTATACCACAAGCTATTTGTGAAATGCACTTTACCTTTTGCTGTGTCGGATGATCACTCCCAAACTTCATTGTTTCCAAAAATAGGAAAAATATGTAATACTAATAAGGAAAATCAACTCATGCAGGCTGGACCGCATGACTACATGTGGTCTTCCAAAAATAGGAAAAATATGTAATACCAATAAGGAAAATCAACTCATGCAGACTGGACCGCATGACTACATGTGGTCTAAAAAGTGTGAAGCATCCATCTTAAAGATGGATGCAAGTAGGTGTTCCATTAATGGAGACTAACAGTCCAAATGTTTTCTTTAGAATTATTATTTCTAGTTTTTAAAATTTGCATAATTTTCATATTCATGATCTCCAAGTTAGAGATTACATGTCCTTCAAAATTAAGTCCAAAAATCCATCTCAAAAGTATCTTCTGTGATGTTCATTTATACCATTCCATACCCACTGCACCAACTACATACTAGTGTAATAAAAATGAATTATTTATTGTATATAAATCAAATATTTATTACTTACATAAAGCATACACATTATACTATTGAAATAAGGCACACTTCAAAAATCCATTGAAAAATGTTATTTTGATACTAAAAAACCCTCAAATTGATTATTTCAACCTCGAGATGCATGGATATGGACCCAAAAAAACAAAAACCTCAAATTGATTATTTCAACCTCAAGATGCATGGATATGGAACCAACAAAACAAAAGGGGATTTCTGGTCATGACAATAGTGCAGCTTATAATGCATTATCTAGAGTGTCTATTTTCAAAATTGTTAATTGTTTATAGATCTGATCCATCTGCACTTTGTTTGGAGCTTTTAATTTCGTATTTGGGGAGCAGAAGATTTTCATGTCATCACAAGACTTTCCGACACCGAAATATCTTTTGACAAAGATTTAAGGTGCACCTTACTTCGATTGTTTAATATTGAAACCTTATACACCTCAACCTTTTATTGTATAATAATCAAGCGCCTTCCCCTATCTCAATTTCAGGCTATCGCTTGTGAGACTCAAGAAACATTGTATTCAGACACCCCATATACGCCAACTTGGTGACAGATAAAAACCAAATAGACAGATCTTGCTCTCATAGAACAGCCAAATTCAAAGGTTTATTTCCAATAGTGTCAACTAGAACAACATTGACATGTCCAAAATAAATCAGTATCAAATTCATTCTTTGAATAGGGCTGCCACTGCGCTGGCCCGGTCCCCGCAAAGCCGGGCGAATATACAGTATTAAAGCCTAGCCAGGGCAGCCCAAAGGAATCTGCTGCCCAATAATAAACCCTTCTGTTTCCTTTTGGTTTTTCTTTTTGCTGTTTTTTTTTCTCTCTTCAAACTTTTCTTGTTTATAGTAAGAGAGTTTGGGTTAACAAAAAGAGAGAGAGATTGGGTTTTTCGAGAGAAAGAATATTGGGTTTCTAAAGAGAGAGAATGGGTTTTTAAAGACAGCAAGAGGGATTGGGTTTCTAAAGCAAGAATGGTTTCTAGAGCAAGAATGGGTTTCTAAAGAGAGAATGGTTTCTAGAGCAAGAATGGTTCAGAGAGAGATTGGGTTTCTAGAGAAAGAATGGGCTTTCTGAGTGAGAATGGGGTTTCTAGAGAGAGTGGGTTTTCTAGAGAGATATTGGATTTCTAAAAAGAGAGATCAGGTTTTTAGAGAGAGAAAGATATAAAGGATCTCTAGAAAGAATGAGTTTTTAGATAGAAAATGAGAGATTGGGTTTCTAGAGAGAGAATGGGTTTTTAGAGATAAAAATAGAGATTTAAGTTTTTAAAGAGAGAGATTGGGTTTTTTTAGAAAAAATGGATTTTTAGAGAGAGAAAGAGAGATTGGGTTTTAAAAGAGAATAGGTTTTTTGAGAGAGAAAGAGAGACTGAGTTTATAGATAAAGAGAGATTGAGTTTCTAGACAGAGAAGAATTTTTAGAAAGAGATAAGAGTTTCTAGAGAGAATGAGTTTTAAGAGAGAGATTGGATTTCAAGAGAGAGAATGGGTTTTTTGAGAGAGAGAGAGAGATTGGGTTTCTAGCGAGAGAGATTGGGTTTCTAAAATCTAGAAACCCAATCTCTCTTTCTTTCTATAAAAACCCATTCTCTCTAGAAACCAATCACTCTCTAGAAAACCAATCTCTCTCTCTAAAACCCCTTCTCTATCTAGAAACCCAATATAGATTTCTCTCCAAAAACTCATTCTCTTTCTCAAGAAACCCAATATCTCCCTCTCTAAAAACCCAATCTCTCTATCTTTAAAAACCCATTCTCTCTCTAGAAACCCAATCTCACTTTCTATCTCTAAAAACTCATTATCTCTCTAGAAGCCCAATATATCTCTCTCTAAAAACCCAATCTTTCTTTCTATCTCTAAAATCCCATTTTCTCTAGAAACCCAACTCTCGTACTCTCTCAAAAAACCCATTCTCTCTAGAAACCCAATATCTCTTTCTTTGTAGAAACCCTATCTATCTCTAAAAACCCATTCTCTCTCTAGAAACACAATATCTCTTTCTCTCTAGAAACCCATTCTCTCTCTAAAAACTCAAACTCTCTAAAAACTCATTCTCTCTCTAAAAACCCAATATCTCTCTCTAAAACCCAATCTTACTTTCTTTCTAGAAACTCACTCTCTTTTAAAAATCAATTCTCTCTAGAAATCCAATCTCTCTCTAAAAACCCATTTTCCCTCTCTAGAAACCCAATGTCTCTTGCTCTCTCTAGATATCCAATCTCTTTCTCTCTCCAAAAACCCAATCTCTCTCTAGAAACTTAATCTCTCTTACTACAACCAAGAATAGTTTGAAGAGAGAGAAGAAAAGAAACGAAAAAAAAAAAGGTTTCTTAATGTGCTGGGCCGGGTCCAGGCCCACTGGATTCTTTCAAAGCGGGGCTTGTCAAGCGCAATTTTTGGGCAAAGCCAATGAAGTTTCCAGACTTTACCAGGCCCAGCTCGGTGGCAGTCCTAGTCATGAATCATATCACAAAAAGAAGTTGTCTCTGTCCCCTGCCAATTCTCTACCATCCATATCGCCCAGACAGACACGAGTGTCCCAATCCAATGCGTGTCTAAGTGTATAGTATGTTAGCCTGTAATATGGCCAGACACGTCTATTCCGTTATTACTTTTAAATAATGAAGTCTAAATATTTATGTGATAAACGTGTATATATAATGACGATGATAGATGTGTACATGTAATATATAGTTTATATTTACCGATATTACTTTTAAATAACAAAGTCTTAATATTTATGTGATAGATGTGTATATATAATGATGATGATAAATGTGTATATGTGAAAGGGGGGTAAAATACCGGCGAAATGTGTGTATCTTTTGCAAACAAGATGGAGAAAATAGTAACCATCTCTTCTTACATTGCCCTTTTGCCAAAACTTTATGGGATTGGGTCTTGAGCATATCTAAGTGGCAATGGGTTATGCCTGAGACCATTAATTTTTTTGCATCCATTCTTAATCCACCCTTTTCAAAGAGTTGAGTTCACCTATGGCGCATCTTACTTGCAGCCCTTCTATGGACTTTATGGAAGGAGACGAATGCATGAGTGTTTTAAGGCACACACCAGAGCACCAACAGACATTAGCAGAGGAGTCTTGAGGCTCGTGGTTCAGTGGGCACAGGCCTCTTTATATCTGAAGAGTTACCCGAAAGAGTTCTTTTCACCAATTTCACTGATCTACTCAACACTCAATTGAGAAAGACTATCAAATCAGCAGAGTGGCTATCACACCTCCTTAAGGCTGGTTAAGTTGCATTTTGATGGGAGTGTTCGCACAGCAGCACAAAAAACTGACTATGGAGGCATCCTATGGGATTCACAAAGGAATGTCATCTCCACGTATCATGGGCAGCTCAACTTCTGTGATATCAATGAGGGAGAACTGAGGGCAGTTAAAGAAAGTGTTCTAAGAGGAAAATTCTGCAAATGTTATCAAGTTGTGCACTAGCCCTCATCTTGTCCCATGGCAATTGACCCCAATCATGTATGAAATAATGCTAAACGTACAAGCTAGAGAGGTCATCCTTGAGCATATCAACAGGAAAATGAACAAGCTGACAGTCTAGCCAAATTGGCCACTCTTTGAAGCCATTTTCCTTTTTGTCCTTCTCCCTTCCCTCTTCTTTTCCATTTCTTACTGTTAGCTCACTTTCTGTTTTCTTTGTTTGTCTACAGTTGTAAACGTCCTTTTGTAATATTTCATTTACTCAATGAAGTCACTGTTAACATTAAAAAAAAAAAAAAAAGGATAGATGCATATATGTAATACATAGCTTATATTTATGAGATCGCATAGCGTGCTCTTGTGGGAGCATACAACTCCTCCCTCAGGCAAAATGCATATCTGGGAGGTTATTTTTATCCAAAATTTTGGGATCCATCTAAGCATCATCACATTATTATTATTATTATGAAGAAATAAAAAAGGATTTTGAGTTCTTGAACATCTAACTCTTTCCCT